CCATTCACAAGAACCAAACACCTCCTCAAAATGACACCGTTTTAATTGAAAGCACCACACCAAGAATCGAAGAGAAAAAAATCATCGAATCTTATTCACCAAGAAGTCTCAACCAACCAGAACCAAAACCAAAACCCAAACCTAAACCATCTGATTTAAGGGCCTACGATGACGATGAGCCATTGGTTTCCCCAACCGCCGGTGGCCGCTTCATTCCCATTCCAGAAGCTGATGAAAACATTGAACAAGAAGAAGAGACGACGACGTCGAGGAGTTCCAAGGATTCTTCGTCAATCCCAACCCTTCATCGGCCGTCAAATCTGATGAAGTACTCCCGTTCAACGGTCATGATTTGAGGAATGTCCAGGTCGGACTATCTCCTGAAACGGCAGTCGTTTCAGTGGGCCGTGGATACGAAACTTACGCCGTGGCTTTAAAAATTAAGGCCCCACCACCTTCCCCAGCTAAAGTACAAGTTTCTTCGAGGAATAGTGGCAATACTGCGACACATTTGGACCCTTCCCATCGTGCGCCTATCGATTTGGTTACGGTTCTTGATGTGAGCGGAAGCATGACCGGTGCTAAACTCCAGATGTTGAAACGCGCCATGCGTTTAGTCATTTCCTCGCTCGGCTCGGCTGATCGTTATCAATTGTGGCCTTCTTGGCTAGTACAAAAAGGTTATTGCCTTTGCGGAGAATGACGGTTGAAGGTCAACGTGCGGCGCGGCGCATTATTGACCGACTCGTCTGCGGTCAAGGAACCAGCGTTGGTGAGGCGTTGAGGAAAGCTACGAAAGTGCTTGAGGATCGGAGGGAGAGAAATCCAGTTGCTAGCATTATGTTATTATCCGACGGCCAGGATGAAAGAGTCCAATCCAATGCTTCTAAACAACGGCATCATTCAGGCCACGTGTCGTCCACTCGTTTCGCTCACATAGAAATACCGGTTCACGCGTTCGGTTTCGGGCAAAGTGGTGGATACAGTCATGAGCCGGCTGAGGATGCGTTCGCGAAATGCGTTGGTGGGTTACTAAGTGTTGTGGTACAAGATTTAAGAATCCAGCTCAGCTTCGCATATGGCTCAGCCCCAGCTGAAATCACAGCTGTTTATTCGTGTAATGGAAGACCTTCTGTATTAACCTCCGGCTGGGTGCGGCTTGGCGATTGTACGCCGAGGAAGAAAGGGATTACTAGTGGAATTGAAAGTTCCGACATCGGCGGTTGGTTCGCCATCATGTGATGTGTGTTCGTGTCGTTGTTCATACACCATGCTTCGCAAGAAGTTGTATCGGGAGAGACCAACGCGCTTCTCGTACCAAGGCCTGACGCCGTTCGATCATCGGCTCCCAAATCGAGCGCTTGAGATTCTTTTTTATCACAACTCGAGCCATCGCCGAAGCGAGGAGGTTGATCGAGTGCAATAACGACTTGACAAGCGCTCACCATTTGTTGGCTTCGGCTCGAGCCTTGTTGATTCAGTCGAATTCTTTGTCGGCTGAGGAGTACGTAAGAGGGTTAGAAACTGAGCTGGCGGAATTGCATTGGAGGAGACAGCAGATGATGGAAATCCAACGCCGGAGGGTGAACGGAAGGGAGAGAGAAAGGGAGACGATGATGGTGGTGATGGATGAGAACGGGGAGCCACTTACACCGTCATCGGCTTGGAGAGCGGCTGAGAGGCTGGCCAAGGTAGCCATCATGAAGAAGTCGTTGAATAGAGTCAGCGATCTCCAGGGCTTCGAAAATGCCAGATTTTAGTTTTATTTTTCTAAAATTTTATTCTTATAAAAAATGAAGAAAAATGAGGGATTAACGTTGTAATAGAATAGGGACAAGCTGGTAGCAGTCGGCGCAGGCCTTTCTGCTATGGACTGTAAACTAAAATTCAAGAATTTGATTGGTTGGGTTGCTTTAAAAAAGAAAAAAAATGCTTTTGGATTTTGTCTCTCTTTTTCTTTTTTCCCTTGAATTATAATCCCCATTCCCATTTTCTTATGTGTAGGAAAGAAAAAAGGGAAAAGTTTGTATTTGTACTGTAGGGATTTTTAATGATTCATCATCATCTTACGAAGCTGTAAATGCTAGTGTAATTGGGTTTCTTTTTATTTGGCAGGTGGGTGGTTCTAATGCTTTATTTTTATTCTTTAGGGTTATTCTTTATTTACTTTTATAGTCTTATAATGTTATCCCTTTTAGGGGGTTTCAGATAAGTCGATGGTCAAGTTAAAAAAAATAAAGGTAGGAGTTGTAGATGTAGAAATGATTGGGGGTAGCTAGGACTTGGAAATGATAATGATGAATGAATCATTTTCTTGTTATTATATTCTCTTTGTTTACTGCTGATTCTGCTTTTGAATTTCTGAATTATGATAAATCTATACTTTTTTTAATATAATATAATGTATATATAAATAGACTTTGTGACAAGGATAATGGGCTTCCTTTCAGCCCCCACATTACCATGTTGCTTTCTGCTATCACCCATTATTTTTCTTTTTTGATATATGAAAATTTCAAATACCAATATGGAGCAAATTATGATTTTCCCTTTTGAGTTCTCATAACTTAATGACGTTTGAGGGTGGCAATAGGTTATCTAGAGTCGAATCAATCACAATCTCCCACCGTGAGGTTTTCTGTCCTTTGATTCTGGCATTTGAGGGCGGGCTATTTTGAGCTCTTCTCTTGTAGTAGTAATATTGTTCACAGCTCTCTCTGATCTGTACTTGAACAGCCATCCTCTGTCGCTGCCTGGCTCACTGCCCAGTGCACGGCCCCACCGCGTCACCGGATCAGAAACTCCAACACTCTCACCCAACCAACGGTGGAGATAGAGCTGCCAACAGATCAGAGAGCGTACAGGCACAGATGTAGATGTCATAATGTGACCCTCAGTGGGGGCCATCTTCAACCTTTTTTCCTTGGCTAGCAGAAGTAGTACCCAGATAACACCATGTTCGAAGAGTTTTACCACAGGTTCTGCACATGTAGGGGAGCCGAGGAAGGTCCACGCTTGCTTCGCTTTAGGAACATGGTTGTTGCTTGTTATTGTTAAAAGTACATTTGGATCTTTTTCCTTCTTCCCTTCGTGTGCTTCAAGAGAATTGTGATTTTGTTGAAATCTAGAACTAAGAAAAATTGGGTTTTTCTTTTCTATGAAGATGCTACGATGCAAGCTTAGGTATGATTTCCCAAAAAAAAAAAGATGCAAGCTTAGGCTGCATAGCTTTGAATGGAGAGCCCATTAAAGAATTGTAGTTTACTCTCGTCACTGTCGTTCAAAGGCAACCAGCTCGTTTCCAGACCTTTGAGAGGGAGGGAGAGAGCGAAGGGTGTTGGGACCCAAAAAGATTTTCATGTTTTTGTTCTTGGGACCCCCTTTGCAACTCCCCAAGTTCCTAAAGATTCTTTGCAGGAAAGTTCCAAACTCCTAATTTGAAAAAGATTTAACAGCGCGAGGCTAAAAATCTACTTGTAATCATAATCCAATGTTAAGGAATTATGATGAAGACGGCCACTCTTTTAACCCTTTCCTTCCTATAAGCTCTCAAAGCTCAACACCTTTTAACAAATCAGAAAAGCTAGGGACAGGGAGTTGCATTTTACAGCTTAACAAGACTTGCTAACTAAAGTTGACAACTGGGGGCATTGCATTCGTTTCAAACTGATCGATAGAACCCATGGGCATTAAATCCATATGGCCCCGTCCTCACTCGCTAGGTGCCGTAGCTTGCAAGTCTCTTGGCTGGGCAATTAGTGTTATTTAGGCGCCTAAAAACAAAGAACAATTCTTATCTTATTGAGGAGGAATAAAAAACATCATGGACCCAAAATTTGCAGTTTATATTGACAGACAGGGGCGACCGGTCGTTACAAAAACCTGCACGTCTTCTCATTTTCACTCGGTTGTCCTCGGATTCCAAGCCATAGCTGGTTTGTCCTTGCGATATATCACTTCATTCCAAAATGACAAAAATAATGGTCCTATTGTAACGCCTCTATCCGAATTATTGGTGAATAATGCTGCCAGGGACTTTTAACGATAATTATGCGTGATCTCTTACCTGATATTTGATGAAACTGTGGTTTTCAGGGACCTTAGTCTCTTAAATGTACTGTTTCTCAATGTGGCTCCTTGTGTTATCGAATTGCAGCCACGAGACATGTTAGAAATAAGGGACACCCCTGATTTCCTGTGTCTTCTTCCATTTGTTTTGTTGAGGAAGAAAGAATGAAAAAAGTTCGGAGAATAGGGAGCTACAGCAAATGTGGCGTGTTACCTTGGAAACGATACTATCGGAAATTCCGTGACCACAGAATTGTCTGCCATGGAGGCACCTGCTTGTACCTGCCCCTTGTTGTTCATTTGTCTTATGGCGGACCTGAAAATAGTAAATCAGCTACACTCATGCAGAAGTACATCTTAGCTTCGTGGCCGATCCACCCCCATTTTTATCAGGACTAATGAGCCTATTTTCGTGGGCCAAGTTTGAGGCAGCCTTTTCAGTTGCAAGAGATTGATCTTTCCTATAAGCCCACAGCGCATATATGGTCCAGCCCAGAATTCATCTTCCATTCCTGTCCCTAAAATAAAGGCTCGCATTCTCCACTAACTTATAATGATGAGCAACACGAATTAAGTTTTTTTTTAATATTTAAGTTTGATTCTTTACAATCTTCCTGGCCGGGTAATTTTTTTTTAATTAAGAGAAAAGAGATTGGAGTACTACTTTTTAGATAAAAAATTACACACTATCCAACAAATTAAATGTTCCAGTTCTCTGAACCCGGTAATTTGTATTGATGGGTTTTCCTTAAGAAGTCCAATATTAACTTATTTAGGAATTATGCTCTGGCAATCACACAACTAAGTTATATTAAATCTTTACAAACTGCAGCCCAGGTATTCCAGACAGCCAAAGCATACATCTATACAATATTAATTTGATATTACCAATTTTCACTTAACAAATATAAGAAAAATCCCAATACAATGCATTTTCAGAAAAGTCTAGCTCTATATTAAAATAAGCAGTAAGTTAATTACAATGATTAATATTGTCCCCATAGATATCATACATTTTCTACGGAAGAATCAGTACACGGATCAAGCTCACCTCATACTGCACCTTACAAAGCCGAAAGACCACTAATAAACATAATGTAGGAACGTGAAGCCAAATGAGAGTCAAGCAAAGGTGTCTTACACCAATTAAGGAATTGAAATTTGCCCCGCAAGGAACTAAAATTGATTAGTCACTCGATTACAGCAGACCAACACTCATGACAAGGTGAGGAAGTTTTCCTCTTATTTGATTGAGGAATTATAATTGATTGTAGTGTGAGAGATTCCATTTTGACGCTTACTTTTGGCTTTGTTCTACCTTGGCTCGAATTTTCTGTTCAAAAAGAGATATGTCTGACTCAAGGCCGAACATTCTGTTAAGTGCATGCATGTTCTCAAGGGTCTCATTCAGGGTACGACTGTCACTACCATCACATCTCAGGTGCTGCATTGGGCCATGGAGAAGTTTATTCACAATACCACGGCTGAGATCGTCCACAGCCCTCCTTGTTTTCTTTGGGATATCTTCACCCATCTTTGATAAGCATTTCTCTAACTCTGCAGCTCTAATTCTCTCTGCATAGGCTCTCAACTTTTTAATGGTGGGAACAGTCTCCAGTGAATCCCTCCATGCTTCAAACTGTTTTGATTCCTCTGTAATAATGGCCTGTGCTTCCATTGCTTTCCGTAGTCGGTCCTCTTTATTAGCAGCTACGACCTCCTTAAGGTCATCAACATTGTAAACTCGTGCACCTTCAACATCTGTGACACATGATCCCACATTCCGTGGAACAGAGATATCAATGAAGAGCCTCAAAGCACCAACTTCAGAACTGACAGGGGGGAGATCCTTGACATGCTCTTTTAAAAACAATGGGGTTTCTGATGCTGTACTGGTGAAGACCACGTCAGCTTCAGCTGCACAAGCCAGCATGTCTGTAAGGGGTCTGTAAATAATCTCAACACCTTTCATCTCCTCACGCATTGCTGCAACTTTCTCCTCACTTCTGTTAACAACCACCATCTTGGTGCATCCTTTTGCTACCAAGTGCTTGATGACAAGCTTTCCCATCTTTCCTGCTCCAATAACCAACATTCGAGCAGTAGCATGTGAGGGCTCAGGAAGCTTCATCAAAGCCAGTTCAACTGCAGCAGAGCTAACTGAAACAGCCCCAGCAGCAATGTTAGTCTCTGTTCTGACCCGTTTCCCAACAGTAATCGCATGCTTGAACAGCCCGCTAATGTTCCTTCCAAAGCCAACAACTCCTTGCCCAACTTTGACAACTTGTTTAACTTGTGCAAGAATTTGACCTTCTCCAAGAACAAGGGAGTCAAGACCAGCAGATACCTCAAAGAGGTGCTGTGTAGAATCCTTGTTGTACAACAAAAACCGGTGCTCGCAAATCTCTGAAACTGGGATGCCACTAGTCTGCAACCAAATTGTACTTAATTAAACAACTACTGCCAGATTCAAAGTTCTCACATAAAATTAATTCATGAAACAAATTTTACAGAGGTAAATATCACAAGACTACAGACTCTGAAGAATAATGTACCTTCGACATCCACTCAGTTACTTCTTTGACTCCACGATGCTGGGAGAGAGCCACAACATATATTTCCATCCTGTTGCAGGTGCTAAGAACAGCAGCCTCTTCTATATGATTCAAACCACATAACTCCCCGATAGCTCGTGGCCATTCTGCTTCTGGAATGGCAAGTTTCTCACGCATCTCTACAGGTGCAGTGTGAACACTAAGCCCTATGACCACAATGCTGCTCCTTTCCTTTGTATATCCTGGCATGGGCCAATCGCAAGATTTTCAGTATAACAGTTGCAACAGGAAAATTAACAAGTATATTTTACAAAAAGGATTATACATTGTACATTTAATTGAAATTACTGAAACCAACTTATTAGTTATTATCACGGATTTGAAATTGATCCAAAGATAAACTGCCAAAAAAGGAACTCTCATTAGAAATAACATGTTTCAGCAAAAACAGTAGGCCTCTAATAATATGAATTCAAAATTTAACATGAAGGAGTGTCTTATCTAAATGTTCATTGCTTAAAATTGAGAAGGTTCCAGACGTTAAAGGCCTAAAATTATGCCGATATAATCAAGTGCACAATGTAGGGAACCCTATGCAAGCAACTATCGGTTGTAGGAGTCTGATCACGGAGACACTCTCCTTCCTCTTCTTCAAAACAAAAACTTCAGGAACTAGCTATTATTACACCATCAGAGGGGAGAAATTGATGATGGTTTTGATCATACAATTCCAAGGTTTACATATTAAGTAAGGAATAGCTTCTATTATTCAGGGCATAGCTCAAAGTTTGATTTCCCAGGGATCAACTAATAGAAGCAAAAGCAACAAATCTAAAACTACACGTTTTTTTTTTCATCTCGTACAGAATAAAACTATACAAATAAACCGAATACAAGAATCTAACAATTTATTTTATGGGTTTTTTTTTTGTCTGAATTAACATTCCCAGTTAATTGTTGCTTTAAAAATCTAAAGATTATGAACAAGTCAAACAGGTGTGCTACAAAAGTATTGAAGCTTTTCAGTCAAATGACATTATGCAGCTGCATTCATCATATAACAGTTTTGCAATCAAATCTAAAACTGAATAACACGAAATTCAGCCAAAACGAGTTAAGGGTAAAAGAAGAAGAAGAAGAACAAGAAGAAGAACAATTTTGCAGAAATTAACGATAAACGTACTGTCAGCGGCGGAGGTCTTGAGCTGTTCAAGAGCAGAGAGTGCAGAAGCCTTAGAAGGATCAAATTTTTCGCCGTCCAAAGCGGCCTCAGATTGAGCAACTTCACATCTAAGTCCTCCACCCCTCCGAACCGTACCTTTCCTTCCCCGATTAGGCTTATAAAAGGCCTTCATTTGCTGCTGACAAGGAAAATAAGCCCGCAATGAAGCAGCCGAAGACGATGAACAAGAATTCACCAACAAACTCTCCAGTTTAGCACCGGAAAAAGTTGAAGAAACCGCCATGCTTTTGAAAAACTGAAAAGCTCACGATCTAAAGCCCCCCCCCTCCCCTCAAAAGATAAAAACCCAAATTAACGGGAGAAATAGAGCGTGAGCTTAAATGGGTTTTTCCTGTAAAAAAAGGGAAAGGCGTGTGGTTTGATTAGGTATGTTTTGGTTGAAAAAACAAAGGGAAGGAAGGGAGGGACTCAGGGAAGGGAAGGGAAGGGAAGGGGTCAGGTTGGTTTGGTCCGTATGAAATAATTGACCAAGGAATCAGAAACACGGTCCAAAGTCAAGTTTTGTGTTTGGAAAAAAAAAAAAGGAAAAAGGAAATGTGAGGAAATTAGAGTTAACCTTTGAAACAGGGGATTGGGCGAAGGGATTAGGCGAGGCAGAGGGTGAGAGGATTTGTGATTTTGTTTTCTGGATTCTGATTGGCCGGTGGAACACACGTTTTATCCACACTCCCATTCTTTTGCCTTTGTCTTCATCCTTTTATAGCGTCCCCTCACTGGGCTAAGCCTACTAGCTGCCCGGGTACAAGAATTTAATTTCCTTTCTGATTTTTCTTTATTGTAAAAGAGGGAGGGCCAAGGCGTTGCAACTTGTTGAAGCCAGGGGCTCTTAGATTGATTTTTTGTCAAGCAAGAATATGATGTATTGTTTTTAACATTGGAATGTGTGTATGATTTGCTTCTTTTAGTGAATGCTTACTCACAAAATGTATTTATTTCTTTTGTTTTATCACATTTAATCAAATTTATTATTGATGGATGGTTGTGATTATACAAGTAAAGGTGTAAAGTGACTATAATAAAATGGATATATATATTATTTTTCATTCTTTAAAACTACTACTTTAACCATTGATGTAGAAAATTGTTTTCTTAATTGGTTAATAATTGTCTAAACGTGGCCGTTAAATGAAATATGGAAACACCAACGTAAGTACATATTTTATCAAATTAGTTTATTGGAAAGAGATTAATAATCAAGTGATAAAATAGTATTAGAGTGGGTTTAACTTTCATTTGACCTATAATGAGTTAATTTCTTTAAAAGAGGATAATGACCTGTTACACCATTGTGGACATAAGTGGAACAGCCATCAACCTCATTTATTATCTAGTTTTCACACTTTATTTAGAGGAAGAGCTTCATTGCTATTCAACCAAGGTGGTTTTTTGATGCTGTAATCTAATTACTTAAACTTAAGCATATCTTCTCAAACAAATGCCGTCCAACTAATTATCTCACAGGATCCTATAGCTAGGTACCATTCCATCAAATTCAGCGATTCCTATTCGGGCTTTAATTAAAGTTCTATAATTCCTAATGAAGACAAAGCTGGAATAAGGACATAGAGTCCTGTATATACTAAAAATCAAAGGAGAGTATCAAAGCATCATTGTTCCTTTGATTCTTCTAATTTGTCTACGTTTAGATTTTGATGTTCTCTCCAGTGCTAACCCAGTATTGGCAGCGTCACATCGTGGACTTCCGCTGGCCATTGGATGATATAGCTAAGATTTTCTTCCTTTTTTCTCTTTTTATTACACAGAGGTGTAGGGATAGAAGAGAGATACGATGAGCAAAGAGATAAGAGGTGGGAGGGTGGGGTGCGGCCACGTGTGATGGAGATAGGGTTTCTAAGATTTCAGGGTCCCCGGTCGCCACAAGCTTTTCTTTGAAATCGTAGACACTGACAACACTTGAAACATTTCAGGATGTGGAGCAGCTTGCTCACTTGCTTCTATAACAATTACCAACTCTTTTACTTAACTACTAAAGTTTTCTTGCTTTGCATCCTTGGCCAACTTCTTTATTAATTCCTCCAAGAGAAAGGTTGTACTTCAAAGGCCTAGGACAACGTAGCAGTCTTCAAGTCATGCCATATGAGCTAATGAATGATATTTCAGCCACATTTTAGATGTTACATAATCTCAATAGAAATTTCATTTATATGCAAAAAATTTTAATCCATTTATTAGAATACATTAAAAAATAATTATCTTTATGCACAGAAAATTAAAAAAAATTAGGGTTTAATCATATATTTATACTATAATAGAACAACAAAAATAGTTCAATCTAGTTGAGAATGTGAAAACGAATTTATATTTGCATAAAAAATGATTGACACTAATGACCAAATCATTTAAAATTACTTCATGTCTCATAATAATTGCAGTTTTAATAATTATGATATTATAAATGAGATATATACATTGTAATATATTAAAGTAGTAATTCTAGATTACAGAATGAAAAATCTCACATTCTAATAATACAAATAAGTGTTTTTATTGCGTATAATATCTGCTTCGATTATGTTTTTGATTTTAAGTTACTTACGAGTTAAGGTGGACGTGATCGAATGTTCTCGAACATTTCATTGGGGTAGTTTGATTAAAAAGAAAAATAAGGAAGAAATTTAGCATTACGGTAAGTCGCACGATTTGCCCACCAACTTCAGGCAAATTGTTTCCACAGCAAACATGAATGATATAATACTTTCTATCTAATTTCAAGGCCTTGTACCATATCTAAATCTAATCCGACAATCTTGCCTTGTTGCTAAAGGGATGCAGATAGGGTAATTAATTAGGCTTTAATTTGCAACTTATTCCCTTTTTTTTTTCTCTCTCTTGAATCCATGGGACCTGCATTGTGTTTTACAATGAAAAAGAAGTACAAGAGATAACAGATGTCCAATTAGCATTCAGACTCGTGCTTACTGGTTCTGAGAAAATTTTGCTTAGTGTGAAGATTAGGGTTTTTCCAATTAGGGTAGCTTTAGCTTGAAATTTTTCTTTGGTTTCATTTTTAGTACATGTTTGTAGTGCATTCCAAGAATCCTGTACAAGTTGTCGCTCATAGATTCTTGACCTCTGGTTTTCCAACACTGTTCGAGAAAAAGGGTTTGATTTTGGTAAAACAAACCTTTTAATCTCTAACTTCAGATGATATTGCGTTGTGGTACTGCCACCAACAAAGGACGAGGAGATATATACTAGTACACATTTCAATGAAGTTAATTAGTCAAAGGTTAAAGGTACTTCTGGTGTATTACTGCCTTGGCAATGCTGCTAATTATCTTCGACCAGGCAGTAGACATCTGCCTAGATGATACTTCTCCAGTTAAAAGCTAACCAGTTCATCCTATGATCAATTACACTTTAATATATTTCCGTCAGTTCAGCTGCATACTTGAACTCAAAGCAAAACGATGGCACTGGATAGATTACGTTTGCATGATCCTGAATGAGTGCTTTGTGTTGATGGGAAAGCTAAAGTACATCCATTATCTGCTTGTTTAAGATTCCGATGAAGTGGTTTGGGTCTGTATGTATCAGATATTAGAACAAAATATCTTTCACACACCTAAAACCTCAGTGGGGGAAAGCTTGAACAGGTCATGTAACCAAAGAGAAATTATTTCAGGGTTTTAGTCGTTGAATTCAAGACTTAACAGAAGAAATTTAATCAAACTCAGCAATCTTGCCGTGGTGCCGAAGCTATTGGCTACAGCCTAGTGTGATTATAGATATGGTGTTCGTACTCCATCTTGCTTTATTGTGAAAAAGGCACAACTCTGAAACAGATGTCCAAAGCTGTTGTAATCCTAAGTTTGGTGATAGTTATGCATTCGCCATGCCTAAGCAAATTTGAAATTATAATCGGCTTTTGTAGTGCCAAATAATAATAATAATAATAACAATAATTTAGTTTTATTACACTTAAACTTGACAACTCGCATAATCATATTATACTTGAATCATGTTTAAATGTTTAAGTAAAATATTAATAATTACATACATAAACACAAATGCTATACAATTAATTAAATAAATCAAAATTTTAGATACATTTTAAGATATGTGATGTGTTACACGATAAAACATGATTAACAGATTTATCAAACAAATTGAATTAAACTTTATATGACACGATACAATTATAATACATCAAATTCTTTTAAACATGATTAATTTGTTTAATGGGATATCATAAGCAATTAGTTAAACAAGTTATATTTTTCAAATTGATATGATAATATATTTAATCAAACAAGTTAATTGTGTTACATACAGATTAAGTAAGTTTAATCCGTTTAAAACATAAAATTTTTGTGTCTTAAATGCGTAAATGGATTTAAGACACAAAAAAAAATAATCTTAAACTTAAACTTACTTAATCACATAAAGTTTCTTGTATTGTGTCAAAGAATTGTGTCCAAAATGATCAAAGTTTAATTTCACTGTCCAAAACTAGTGTAAAATTATGTATTTTCAGTTTTTCATATTTTCTTGGATATGGGCCTTTAATTGTCTGGTATGGGCTGTTCAAGAACTTTCTAATTAATTATTACCAATTAATACCCAACTCAACTTATGAGTACACATAAGATGGCCCAACAAGAAATATAGTCCAACCAGATGGCCCGAGCTAGCTTAACTCATTTTTTTGGTGCGCCTCAACATTTTCTTAAAAAAAATATTTTTTATGTATCAATTAATAAATTAAATATTTAAATATCTTTTTAAATAAATTCTTGATAAAAATATATATACAACCATAATAACAGGTTGATAAATTAAGCGGCATTATCATTTATCATTATTCATTTTTCTTTATAGAACATGTTCACCCTACTAAGAAGAAAAACGATGCAACAATTCTGTGTATCCATCGTGGTTGTGCTTAGGCTATGCCATTATTTTAATATGGTCTGTCTTAGAACGGACAATAAAAATAAATCTGAAAATCATAGAGTCAAAGTTATTTGTCATGTAAGATTTTAGCAATTAATTAATCATTCTCAAAATTAAAGTAATACTTAGAAAAGGCTTCTTAAACTTGTACTTTTGCTACAATCATTCGATTTATTGAAAGGTCACTTCATCGACATTGTTTAAACATATTTACTTTCTATTTTTATCACCATTAAGGTGAATTAAGTTATCAAATGCACTTACAAAATCGATGGGTAATCATTTGTTTTGGTATAGTTAGAAGAGATAAAAGAGTTTTATCTCTAATTAAACTACATAATATGATTAATTCATTTCATAAAATAATATTGATATTTTTTTGGTAGAGCCAACAGAAATAATTATCAAATGGAAAATTACACATGGTTTAATTGCATACAGTTAAAGCTTCCCACTAGCACAGCTTATCAATTTCATCTCATATAATTAATTAAAGCATGAAAAAGTTAATTTGATTTGAAAATGACATTGCTAATTTGATAAAGGGGTTAGA